GCTCCACGTCTGGATCCCTGCTCACACACCTGAGCTGCCTCAGCACCGCCTCCAGCTGCAACACCACACACATTATTTAGATGTTGATATACTGTGTGTTGCTGCAGGGGTTGTGTGTCCTCACCTTGTGGCTGCAGGGGACTCCCAGCATGCCTTGTTGCAGCTGCTGTATGAGGGGCTGCTGCATCACGTCTCCACAGTCTGAGTCCAGATCCCTGATCCAGTCTGAGAGCCGCCGGGCTCTGAAGTCCTGAAGCAGAACCAGCAGCTGCTGCACCCTCTGCTCCACCTGCTCACACTCTGCAGACCGGTACCTGAACACAACACACACTGTAGATCAACACAACACTTTGTACCTGAACACAACACACACTGTAGATCAACACAACACTCTGTACCTGAACACAACACACTGTGCCTGAACACACAGATGAGGTCTTACAGGTGTTTCAGGGAGGTGTAGAGATGCAGGTGAGGTCTTACAGGTGTTTCAGGGTGATGTAGTGGTGCAGGTGAGGTCTTACAGGTGTTTCAGGGTGGTGTAGAGATGCAAGTGAGGTCTTACAGGTGTTTCAGGGAGGTGTAGAGATGCAAGTGAGGTCTTACAGGTGTTTCAGGGAGGTGTAGAGATGCAGGTGAGGTCTTACAGGTGTTTCAGGGTGATGTAGTGGTGCAGGTGAGGTCTTACAGGTGTTTCAGGGAGGTGTAGAGATGCAAGTGAGGTCTTACAGGTGTTTCAGGGAGGTGTAGTGGTGCAGGTGAGGTCTTACAGGTGTTTCAGGGAGGTGTAGAGATGCAAGTGAGGTCTTACAGGTGTTTCAGGGAGGTGTAGAGATGCAGGTGAGGTCTTACAGGTGTTTCAGGGAGGTGTAGAGATGCAGGTGAGGTCTTACAGGTGTTTCAGGGAGGTGTAGTGGTGCAAGTGAGGTCTTACAGGTGTTTCAGGGAGGTGTAGTGGTGCAGGTGAGGTCTTACAGGTGTTTCAGGGAGGTGTAGAGATGCAGGTGAGGTCTTACAGGTGTTTCAGGGTGGTGTAGTGGTGCAGGTGAGGTCTTACAGGTGTTTCAGGGAGGTGTAGAGATGCAGGTGAGGTCTTACAGGTGTTTCAGGGAGGTGTAGTGGTGCAGGTGAGGTCTTACAGGTGTTTCAGGGAGGTGTAGAGATGCAGGTGAGGTCTTACAGGTGTTTCAGGGTGGTGTAGTGGTGCAAGTGAGGTCTTACAGGTGTTTCAGGGAGGTGTAGAGATACAAGTGAGGTCTTACAGGTGTTTCAGGGAGGTGTAGAGATGCAAGTGAGGTCTTACAGGTGTTTCAGGGTGGTGTAGTGATGCAGGTGAGGTCTTACAGGTGTTTCAGGGAGGTGTAGAGATGCAAGTGAGGTCTTACAGGTGTTTCAGGGTGGTGTAGTGGTGCAGGTGAGGTCTTACAGGTGTTTCAGGGAGGTGTAGAGGTGCAGCGTGTGCTCCGCCCTCAGCCTGAGCTGCCGGCTCCAACAGAGTGCGGCTGCAGGTGGGGGGGTGTAGCAGCTGAAGGTGTGTGCCTTCTCTCTCTGGGTGTAGAACAGCTGCTCGATGGTGTCCAGCTCCAGCAGGAACCCCTGGAGCAGGTGCAGCAGGTGGGGGCGCAGCTGCTCCTGGATCACAGGGCGGTGCAGCATGAAGCTGAACATCTGCAGCAGCTGAAACACAAGATAACAAGGACATGGTTGTTCCAGAGTTACAGAGACACAATAGACACAGCAGCACTAAGAGTGCAGTCAAGAGAGCAATTCCATATCTACAGGTCACATAGTTCATGTAACAACCTGTACAGTGAGGAGGTCCCTCAGGTGATGGAGCACCTACTCCCAATGATGGTACCACAGCTAAGGCTAACTGGATGCTACCTGGGGGGTATACTACGAATCAAGATTTTCGTTTAGCAAGCTAACTTCAGAGGTTTCCGGTCCTACGAAGCTGGTTCACTTCTTAGCGGGCTAGATAACTTATTCTGAACGGCTATCCTCCGGAGCAGGATAGGTTCCAGGATAAAAGCACTGCCTGCTGACCAATCAGAGCTCAGTGTGCGGAGTTTAAAGCGATCAATTCATATGACAGGAGGAGAAAGGAAATACAGTTTAAACTGCCGTTGCAGGAAAGACGGCCGGCCAAAATCACCGACTGTGTGAGCGTGAAAATGAATAGAATATCCCCTCCCATCTTCAGAGCAATCTGACTATTATAACATTAGCGTTAAGAAAGCTTACTTAAATATTTGCCACAACATAAGTAACCGGATCAGAGTAACATTAAGTACAGTCCGCGGCACTGTGAGTGCAGACGTCGATGTGTCCCATTATCATTCATATCACATCACATCATAATGTATCATATATTTCCTTATCTGAGTCAGCTGAGCCGTATCTGGCCGTGCAACACTCACAGTGTCACATACTGTATGCAGAAGTATTATTTTAAGCAACACATTAAGTTGACGAAACACTCGAGTCAAATGTAATTAAAGTCAGATCGTGTCTTGGACGGGGCAGTGATATCATAAACCTGTTAATGAACGTATTCAAACACTTTCTCTGTTACCAGCTGTATTCACCTAGCAGATGCAGCTATGTGGCTTTGATCCTGGATAAAGTGTTTAAGTCATGGATGTTTAAAGTTTAACTTCTTCATATTTTACTAATATTATAGTTGACTTTTCATTCAGGAAGTATGACGCTGCGCTGTCAGTACGCTTGTCCCTTTTTGTGATTGGTCGAACACTCCAAATACCACCCCTTTTATGTGAACGCGCACCTAACTAGATAGGACACGGCTGGCTTGAGCGATCGAGTTGATAGCCAGCGTCGTAAGACCGTTTAGCGAGAGCGTTTTTTTTTTGGATTTAGTCAACCGGATAACTCAAAACATATCCAGGATATGTTGAACTAGATTCGTAGTATAGGCCCCTGGACTTCAGCTGATGGTGATTAGTGAGTCTGTCTATGAACTGCATGATGTAACCCTCTGTCGGTCAGCAGGGGGCGCTCTCACACTCTGTGGGGTTGGCTGCATGATGTAACCCTCTGTCGGTCAGCAGGGGGCGCTTTCACACTCTGTGGGGTTGGCTGCATGATGTAACCCTCTGTCGGTCAGCAGGGGGCGCTCTCACACTCTGTGGAGTTGGCTGCATGATGTAACCCTCTGTCGGTCAGCAGAGGGCGCTCTCACACTCTGTGGGGTTGGCTGCATGATGTAACCCTCTGTCGGTCAGCAGAGGGCGCTCTCACACTCTGTGGGGTTGGCTGCATGATGTAACCCTCTGTCGGTCAGCAGGGGGCGCTCTCACACTCTGTGGGGTTGGCTGCATGATGTAACCCTCTGTCGGTCAGCAGGGGGCGCTCTCACACTCTGTGGAGTTGGCTGCATGATGTAACCCTCTGTCGGTCAGCAGAGGGCGCTCTCACACTCTGTAGGGTTGGCTGCATGATGTAACCCTCTGTCGGTCAGCAGGGGGCGCTCTCACACTCTGTGGGGTTGGCTGCATGATGTAACCCTCTGTCGGTCAGCAGAGGGCGCTCTCACACTCTGTGGGGTTGGCTGCATGATGTAACCCTCTGTCGGTCAGCAGAGGGCGCTCTCACACTCTGTGGGGTTGGCTGCATGATGTAACCCTCTGTCGGTCAGCAGGGGGCGCTCTCACACTCTGTGGGGTTGGCTGCATGATGTAACCCTCTGTCGGTCAGCAGGGGGCGCTCTCACACTCTGTGGGGTTGGCTGCATGATGTAACCCTCTGTCGGTCAGCAGGGGGCGCTCTCACACTCTGTGGGGTTGGCTGCATGATGTAACCCTCTGTCGGTCAGCAGAGGGCGCTCTCACACTCTGTGGGGTTGGCTGCATGATGTAACCCTCTGTCGGTCAGCAGAGGACGCTCTCACACTCTGTGGGGTTGGCTGCATGATGTAACCCTCTGTCGGTCAGCAGAGGGCGCTCTCACACTCTGTGGGGTTGGCTGCATGATGTAACCCTCTGTCGGTCAGCAGAGGGCGCTCTCACACTCTGTGGGGTTGGCTGCATGATGTAACCCTCTGTCGGTCAGCAGGGGGCGCTCTCACACTCTGTGGGGTTGGCTGCATGATGTAACCCTCTGTCGGTCAGCAGGGGGCGCTCTCACACTCTGTGGGGTTGGCTGCATGATGTAACCCTCTGTCGGTCAGCAGGGGGCGCTCTCACACTCTGTGGGGTTGGCTGCATGATGTAACCCTCTGTCGGTCAGCAGGGGGCGCTCTCACACTCTGTGGGGTTGGCTGCATGATGTAACCCTCTGTCGGTCAGCAGGGGGCGCTCTCACACTCTGTGGGGTTGGCTGCATGATGTAACCCTCTGTCGGTCAGCAGGGGGCGCTCTCACACTCTGTGGGGTTGGCTGCATGATGTAACCCTCTGTCGGTCAGCAGAGGACGCTCTCACACTCTGTGGGGTTGGCTGCATGATGTAACCCTCTGTCGGTCAGCAGGGGGCGCTCTC